CAGAAAAGAGTTCCACTGACACCTGATCTGTTTTCTCTGGATGCTATAAAGCTAAGAATTCAAAACAAGCCAAGCAAGGATTTACAAGTTAAAGAAAAAGGTGGACACAAAATTCAAACTTAAAAATTAGGCAAGGTGCAGTGGCTCACACCTGTAATCCTAGCACTTTGGGAGGCCGAGGCGGGGGTGGATCACCTGAGGTCAGAAGTTCAAGACCAGGCTGGCCAATGTGGTGAAACCCCATCTCTACTAAAAATACAAAAATTAGCTGGGTGTGGTGGCGGGCACCTGTAATACCAGCTACTCAGGAGGCTGAGGCCTGAGGATCACTTAAACCCAGGGGGTGGAGGTTGCAATGAGCTGAGATCGTGCCACTTCACTCCAGCCTGGGCAACAAAGTGAGACTCCATGTCAAAAACAAAACAAAACAACAATAATAAAAAACTTGAAAATCAACAGATAAAGCTTTGTATCTGTTTCAGTAAACATCTTTTTTAAATGTTAAAAATCAAAGTGATAAAAATCACAATTTGTGTTTTTTTAAAATTAGGAAAATTATTAAAAATAAAATGAATATACATACCACAATTTTAAGAGGTCCATATTTTTTCTCCTGAGCAGCAAGCGCATTCTTAAAAGGAGTAGGAGTTCTTGGTGTGGTACCCAATATAGATCTTCTAATAGTAGGTGTTCTGAAACTATCCAATCATTTAGATATTTATGTTATAGTCACAATCTGATTGCATACGAGTTAATGAAAGCAAAGCAATTTAAGCACACACTAAATTTTCTCTCTCACACACACACACACATATATATATATGCTTCATCTAAACATTCTAAGACTATTTTACAGTATGCCTGCCTATGGTAATTCTGATTTCAATCACTCATCTTAAAATAGAAAAAAAGAATTAATACAGAAAAAAGTACTAGAAATGCTTTCATTGAAATCAAAGATACTATATTTAAGTTGGTTTTGACTGTCCTAAGGAGAAAACATAAGGCTATGATTTAAAAAAAAAAATTCTGGCCCAGCCCAGTGGCTCACGCCTGTAATCCCAGCACTTTGGGAGGCTGAGACGGGCAGATCACCTGAGGTCAGAAGTCCAAGACCAGCCTGGCCGACACAGTAAAATGCCATCTCTACTACACATACAATATTAACCAGGTATGGTGGCACATGCCTGTAATCCCAGCTACTCAGGAGCCTGAGGCAGGAGAATCACTTGAACCCGGGAGGTGGAGGTTGCAGTGAGCCGAGATCTCACCATTGCACTCCAGCCTGGGCAACGAGAGTGAAATTCCATCTCAAAAAAAAAAAAAAAAATTCTAAGTCCTGTAGGAATAGGGATTATGATACATGCTATTTATATGCACAAAAAGCTACTCTACTCTTGATATTGTGCTCCCCATTTTCTCTAACACAATTATTTAATACCTACTTACCCTACATTTTCCTTTTGATCTTTGGGAGTTGTTTCCTTATGAAGAGGAGTTGTAATGAGAACTTTCTGCCCACAAATAGGGGTTGATGTAAATGAAGGATTTTCTATATTAAGTTGTTCATTTCCAGGACATGTGTTGAAAAACTAAAAATGGAAGAGAGTTTAAAGATGATTTCTAGAACATCAAAATCCCTACACAAATATTAAACTAAGATTTTCAAATTATTTCTTCATACCGCTTTTAAAAAGCTTATGAATAATATTACACTTATACTCCATGGAAATTATGCTCCATGAGGGTAGGAATTTTTGTCTGGTTTGTTCATTTTTGTCTCCCCAGCTCTTAGAACAGTGTTTAGCACATATAGGAATTCAAGAAACATTTAACAAATATTCAAAAGTTACAAAAAAAATACTAAAAATTGTAAAAAGTGTATTATCAAATAGAGATCTATAGAAACTATAAACAGTTGCCGTGTTAAATCTAACAGTTTCATACAACAGTGTGTAACTGAAAAAAACAAGGTTTTTTTAGCTCTTATTAATAAATGACCTTAAGTGGCTTTTTCTATGAGAGTATTTTAATTTAGAATATAATTACGCTTTGCTGATGAGAAATACAGCTGTCTGGCAAATTTGCCTATCTAGAACACAGAACCTCTAAGAAGTCAAAATTGGTATCACAGAGTCCATCTTCTAAATTATATAATTTACAACTGTGAAATACTAATTATATTCACAATACAATTGTGAAATACTAATTTATTTTTGTAGTCAAAAATTAGAAACAGTGGTATGAAGCCATAGAAATGGCTTCAAAGCTCCTTATAACTAGAATGAAGTCTAGCTCTATCACTTCTGGCTCTGAATACTTGAATTTATTTTACCCTAAGATTAGTAATCAAACCCTCTTTTACAGGATAAAATCCAAGCAGTTTGCCATGGCAAACAAGCATCTTTCAGCCACTTCTACCTTAGAATTCACACTTCAATAAAAATTGCTAGTGTGCAAAACTCCAGAATAGAAAACTGCTAGTATGCCCAAGCCTACTTCACTTTCCCCAGTGCTTTTTAACTCTGAGAGCAGGTCTGGGGGTGAACAGACTATTCACATTGTAGTCTATACAAATGGCATTCCCTGAAGCATGGGTGCACAATTTTTAGAGATCTATGTTCTGCCAGATCCTACTTATCTCCCTAGCCTCAAAATATACCTCCAATAATATCCCAGCATTCTCCATGTTTATTTGACCATTAAACCCCCTTCTTCCCCCTTAAACTTTGTAGCCTCTGCCAAACACTTTCAGAAAACATCAGCTCCATCTCTTACTAACTGTTGCCTTTTACAAGTGGCTCAACTTCAGAATTTTATTCCACCTAACTCCTTTTGAAAGAGCATCAACTGAGATGCTATAAGAAAAGTGTTTGGAGGCCGGGCCGGTGGCTCACGCCTGTAATCCCAGCACTTTGGGAGGCGGATGTGGGCAGATCACCTAAGGTTGGGAGTTCGAGACCAGCCTGACCAACATGGAGAAACCCGTCTCTAATAAAAATACAAAATTAGCCAGGCATGGTGGCGCATGCCTGTAATCCCAGCTACTGGGGAGGCTGAGGCAGGAGAATCACCTGAACCCAGGAGGCAGAGGTTGCGGTGAGCCGAGATGGTGCCATTGCACCCCAGCCTGGGCAATAAGAGCAAAACTCCACCTCAAAAAAAAAAAAAAAAAAAGTTTGGCAAACAGCCTGGAGCATAGCAAGTGTTCAATAGGAAACTGTCCTAACATAAACATCTACTGTCCAGGGGTATTATAAGAGAAGAAAGTAAGTAGGTAGTTCTGGACATCCTTGGGAAACCTCTTGACACATTAAATTCTTACAGTAAGCAATTATCTAAGTTTCTTCCAAAGAACGTTAAAAGGAAACATTCAGCGGGCAAACTAAATAAATTACTTTAAATAGGTAAGGTCACTTTAAACTTTATCAGGTGTATCTATCGCACAGTAGTCAGTCAGGAAACTGGATCTCAGTCTCAGCCTTGCATTAGATAACTTTGGGCAAATCAATTTTACCTTTCCAGGCTTGTTTTATGATGAGTTCTATAAAGATATGGGACTACAAGATAAAGAAAATGTCTCTCTAAACACTGTAGTATAATATCATGCAGAACCGGGAGCAGTGGCTCACGCCTGTAATCTCAGCACTTTGGGAGCCAAGGCAGGTGGATTACTTGAGTTCAGGAGTTCAACACCAGCCTGGGCAACATGGCGAAACCCCATCTCTACAAAAAATACAAAAATTAGCTAGGTGTGGTGGCACGCATCTATAGTCCAGGCTACTTGGGGGCTGAGGCGGGAAGATCACTTGAGCCTGGGTGGTTGAGGCGGCAGTGTGCCATGTCTGTGCCATTGCACTCCACCCTGGGCAACAAAACAAGACCCTGTCTCCAATATATATATATGCCACTATTACATTTTGTGAGATACTTTCTAATCTCTCAGAGTTCAGTATTCTCAAGTATACATTTAAACACATTATTTTTTTATGTTATCAAAGTTACCAACTGCTAGTAAGGATATTAAAGATCTAATTTAATCTAACTCATTGACATTTAGAAACATAAACAAAATCAACACCGCTACCTGTGAAGGAGAAAATGGTAGTGTTTTCAGTGGTGTATGTTTTAGCGCTGTATTACCACCATCGTTCAATGAGCCATCCCTAAGTTCGCTGCCTGGGGAAAGGCCCACTCGCATTTTTCTCTTCTTTCTGAGGATGGCTGGTGGAGTGCTAAACTTGGCTACATTTGGGGATGTTAAAGGAACAGCTTCACTGTTGCCACCATTACAAGTGTTTTTTTTCCCTTCAAGTACAAGACTGACGTTAAATTGGCATTCCATGGCTCCTTCATTGTGCTGAATTCTCATTAATTTAACTGGGGTGGATTTGATAGGAGAAGCAGCAGCATCAGAAATATCAAAACTGGTAACATCACTCCATGCTACAGGATCCTGCAATAAATTAAACTGTTAATAAAGTTAATGCTATAACCTAGTTAAATCTGATCTTGAACACAGGATGATGATTTCCACAGAGTTAATTAACAACTCATTTTATCAGTGGAAACGCTTTCCTTGGACATTTTTTTTTTAAGCAAGGTCATTTGAGAGGAACAGATTATGGCTTTCCTATGATTCCAGAATACATAATAGTTCATCTAATTCAGTAGTTGAAGCTTACTGTCAAAGTATTTTAAGAAGAACAAATTGTAAGTTATTATCAAAAATTAAGTTATTATCAAAAAGTATAATTCGTTATAAAACTTCACATTCTACTCCACATCAGGAAGACACCATCAAATTCTGCATAATCATTTGGTAATGTGTATTGAACATGTTAAAAATGGTGATACACTTTGATCCAGAAATTCAATTTAACCTAAAGACATAATCATGATTTTGCACAAAGCTTTATATGTTATTCGTAATGCTGAAAAGCTAGACACTACCTAAATGTCCAATAATAATAGTACATTGGGTAAATATATTTTCTTATATTCATCTGATGGAATACTACAAAGCCCCTAAAATTCAAATTTAGGCCAGGCATGGTGGCTCACGACTGTAATCCCAGCACTTTGGGAGGCCGAGGTGGGAGGATCACTTGAGGTCAGGAGTTCGAGACCAGCCTGGCCAACATGAGGAAACTCCATCGCCACTAAAAATATAAAAATTAGCTGGGTATGGTGGCAGGCACCTGTAATCCCGCTACTCAGAAGGCTGAGGCAGGAGAATCGCTTGAACCCAGGAGGCAGAGGTTGCAGTGAACTGAGATTGTGCCACTGTACTCCAGCCTGGGCGACAGAGTGAGACTCCATCTTAACAACAACAACAAAAAATTCAAGTTTAAAAAAGTTAAAGAAACAGAAACATGCTTATGACAGGGTGGAAAAAAAAATCCACAAATGTAATACAGAAGTGTATTTTTGGGTTTAAAAATATAATGCGTTCTCTAAGTATAGAACACAGACTGAAAGGAAAATATCAAATTATTAACTCTGGGTTTATGAAACATTTTAATTTTCTTTTTTACAGTTTTCTCTAGTTTCCAGCTTTCTCTAATGCACCTGTATAACTTATATAATAAAAAATGAATTAAGTTTTTAATTTTTAAAAATTCCTCAAAAGGCCCATATTTGAGAAAATTTTAAACTTTTTTCCCCTAGAAGCCACTGCAAAATACCAGAACAAAATTAAGTATGGCATACAAAACATAAAACTGGTCAATGTCCAAAACTCAGTTTCTGAGCATGAAATCATGTAACTAAAATTGAACTTTTGATAATCTTACAATTTTTTACTTACAGATTCAATAAGTTCTAGAGTCTCTGCAAATTCTGGGATGGTCTGCAAAGAGGACAACACAGCGTTGGCCTCCACGGCCAGGAACTTTGTGGGTGAATTCTGCTGAGCAGACACAGGCTGATTTTCATCCATACTGTAAAACTCACTAGTGTGCTCGTCAAGGCTATTTAGAGTATTAGACATGTTATCATCCATGAGGAAACTACCAGACCAGCTAGAAAAACTTCCAGGCTGCTAAAAGTACAAAAGAAATTTTAATATTATTTGTCATTCTCAATGTAGGCATAAATTCAGATTTCAACACATTTCAATTAGGCTAAAAATATAGTAGCAAATATTTTGTCTTTCCTCAAATCGGTATACTTCTTTTCATTAAACTACATGCTTTGACTATGTTTTTTTCTAATTAAAATTTTTAATCTATACAATCATGATGAGATAAAACAAGCATTGACATACAACATAAAGTCCAAACTCTTAGAATTTGGCTACTCCCTTCCTTCCAAACTTAATTTCTCAACACTTCTACTCAAGAGCTATATATTTAAATCTTACCAGGTATATCTATTTATTCCTGGTAGTTATCAGGAATACCCAACTATAGCACTTGCAATTCTCCCAATGAATTATACTATTTTGACCTTGAGTGCCTTTGCACATATTGCTGCTCCCTTTATCTATTAATAAAATGCTCTGTAACCTACTGACCAGGGAAGCTATTCTTTTTTTTTTCCTGAGGTGGGAGTTTTCACTCAGTTGTCCAGGCTGGGGTACAGCGGTGCGATCTCGGCTCACTGCAACCTCCACCTCCTGGGTTCAAGCAATTCTCCTGCCTCAGCCTCCTGGGTAGCTGGGATTACAGGCACCCACTACCACACTCAGCTAATTTTTTGTATTTTTAGTAGAGACGGGATTTCACCATGTTGGCCAGGCTGGTCTCAAACTCCTGACCTCAGGTGACCTGCCCACCTTGGCCTCCCAAAGGGAAGCTATTCTTACCACACAGTTCAAATACTGGAAAGTACTTCATCTGATTGTACACTTTTATCTGCTTCATTTATAATAATGTTCTAATTCATTTATCTTGCTAACATATAATCACTGTCCTTCAAGGCTGAGTTCAATTAGGACTTCTTCCAGGAACCTTTCCCTGGTGACAACAATCTAAATCAAGCACCTCTCCTATATGTTACCATAAACTTTGTGACTCACAAATTGTCAAAAGTCAAAGAGAGAATTCTAAAAATAGCACGAGAGACTAGGTACGGTGGCTCATGCCTATAGTCCCAGCACTTTGGGAGGTCGAGGCAGGCAGATTGCTTGAGCCCAGGAGTTTGAGAACAGTTTGGCCAACATAACGAAACTCCATTTCTACAAAAAATACAAAAATTAGCTGGGCATGGTATCACGCGCCTGTAGTCCCAGAACTCAAAAGGCTGAGGTGAGGGCATCACTTGAACCCAAGAAGTCAAGGCTGCAGCAAACTGTGATCACACCACCACACTCCAGCCTGGGTGAGAGGGAGACCCTTATCAAAAGAAAATTAAAAATAAAAATTGCAAAGTAAAAGTATTACATCACACATAAGGAAATCCTTATTAGATAACAGCAGATTTATCTGAAAAAACCTTACAGGCCAGAAGAGAATGAAATGATATATTTGAGAAGTACTGAAAAAAAAAAAAAAATGCCTGCCAAGAATACCCAGCAAAGCTATCCTTCAGAAATGAGGGAGAAATAAAAGTCTTTCCCAGACTTTTTCTTTTTAAATGGTGGCAATTCATCACCACTAGATCAGCCTTACAAGAAGTGCTCAAAAAAGTCCTGTATCTGAAAGCAAAAAGATAACAAACACTATTATGAAAATATGTAAACGAATAAAATTCACTAGTAGAGCAGGTACACAAAGGAGAAAGATAAAATAATCAAACCACTGTACTACAGAAAATTACCAAACTGCAACAATAAACATTAAGGGAGGAAGAAAGAAACAAAGAATATACAAAACCAGAAAATAATTAACAAAATGAAAAGAGTTAAGTCTTCACATATCAGTAATAACCTTGAATGTAAACAGATTAAATTCCACACTTAAAAGATATAGACTAGCTGAATGGATTAAAAAACACATGACCCAACTATATGCTGCCTATAAAAACTCATGTCACCTATAAAGACACATATGGACCAAATGTAAAAGGATGGAAAAAGATATTCTATGCAAACAGAAACTAAAAGCAAGCAGGAATAGCTATACTCATTATCAGATAAAGCATAATTTAAGTTAAAAACTATAAAAAGAAACTGGGCATGGTAGCACATGCCTGCAACCACAGCACTTTGGGAGGCCAAGTCGGGCTCAGGAGTTCGAAATCAGCCTCGGCAACATAGCAAAACCCCATCTCCACAAAAGTAAATAAATAAATAAATAAAAATAATAATTAGCTGGACATGGCAGCACACGCCTGTGGTCCCCACTACTTAGGCGGCTGAGGTGGGAGGATCACCTTAGCCTGGGAAGTTGAGGTTGCAGTGAGCCGAGATCACAGCACTGTATTTCAGCCTGGGGGACGGAGTGAAACCCTGCCTCAAAAAAACAAAACAAAACAAACAAAAAAGAACACCCTATAAAAAAAGACAAAGAAGGTCAATATATAATGATAAAGAGATCAATTCAGCAAGAGAATATAATTGCAAATATATATACACCAATATCAGAGTGCCTAGCTACATCAAGCAAATATTATTTGATCTAAAAGGAGTAATAGACTCCAATACAAAATAGTTGGAGCCTTCAACAGCCCACTCTCAGCAATGAAAGATCATCTAGACAGAAAAATCAACAAAGAAACAAACATTGGCTTTAAATTGAACATTTATACCGAATGAACCTAACAGCCATCTACAGAGTATTTCATGCAATATCTGCAGAATATACATTCTTTTCATCAGCACATTCTCCAGGACAGACCACACATTAGGCCACAAAATAAGTCTGAACAAATTTAAAAGAATTAAAGTCACATCAAGTGTCTTTTTTGACCACAGTGAAATAAAACTAGAAATCAATAACAAAAGGAACTTTTGAAATTGTAAACAGAAATTAAACAACATGCTCCTGAACAACCAATAGGTCAATGAAGAAACTAAGAAGGAAACCAAAACATTTCTGGAAACAAATGAAAGTAGAAACACAACATACCAACACCTACGGGATATAGCAAAAGCAGTATCAAAAGGGAAGTTTGTAGCAATAAATGCATACATCAAAAAAGTAGAAACATTTCAAATAAACAATGTAGCTAGAAAAATAAGAACAAACCAAACCCAAAGCTAGTAGAGGAAAATCAAAAGCAGAAATAAACGAAATTGAGACAAACAAATACTATGAAAGGAGAAGTTGGCTTTTTAAAGAAATAAACAAAATTGACAAACTGCTGGCCAGACTAACCAAGAAAAAAAAGACCCAAATAAATAAAATCAAAAACAAAAAAGGAGACACTACAACTGATACCACAGGCATACAAACGATCATTAGAGGCTATTATGAATAACTATGCATCCAATTAGAAAACTTAGCAGAAATGGATAAACTTCTGGACAGATATAACCTATCAAGATTGAACCAAGAAGAAACAGAAAACCTGAACAGACCAATTACAAGTAGCAAGATTGAATCTATAATAAAACGTCTCCTGTAAAAGTAAAGCCCAGGACCCAATTCATTGCAGAATTCTATCAAACATACAAAGAAGAACTATCAATTCTTTTCAAATTCTCTCAGAAAACTGAAGAGTAAGGAACATTTCTAAACTCATTCTACAAGGTCAGCATTACCCTGATACCAAAACCAAATAAAAAAACTGTAAGCCAATATCCCTGATGAACATAGATGCAAAAAGACATTCACCAAGATCAGACAGAATTTATCCCAGGGATGTAAGCATGATTCAACCTACATAAATCAATAAATAAAATCAAATATCAATAAAGATTATCTTAATAGACATGAAAAATCATTTGATAAAATTCAACACCCCTTCATGATAAAAACTCTCGACAAGTTAACTGTAGAAAAAACATACCTCAACACAATAAAGGCCATATATGACAAAACCACAGCCAACATCATACTGAACAAGGAAAAGCTGAAAGCTTCTTCTCTAAGATCTCAAATGAGACAAGGATGCCCATTTTTACCACTTTTATTCAACTCAGTACTGGAAGTCCTAGCCAAAGCAATTAGGCAAGAGAAAAAAAAAAGGCATCCAAAATGGAAAAAAGGAAGTCAAGCTGTCCCCATTTGCAGACAACATGAACTTACATATAGAACACCCTATAACAACCTTACATAAAGTTCCTCAAAAAAAACTCTTAGAACTGATAAACAAATTGGGTAATGTCGCAGGATAAAACATCAACACACAAAAAATCAGTTGTATTTTGGCTGGGCATGGTGGTTCACACCTGTAATACCAGCACTTTGGAAGGACAAGGCAGGAGGATCATTTGAGGTCAGGAGTTCAAGACCAGCCTGGGCAACATAGCAAGACCCCCATCTCTAAAACTAAAAAATAAATCAGTATTGTTTCTATACACCAACAACAAACTAGCACAAAAAGAAATCAAGAAAGCAGTGCCATTTACAATAGCTACAAAAAAATAATAATAATACGTAGGATAAATTAAACCAAGAAGGTAAAAGATTCCTGCAAGAAAAACTACAAAACACTGATAAAAGAAATTTAAGAGGACATGAAAAAATACAAAGATCTCCCATATTCAAGAATTAGAATAATAAATATTGTGAAAATGACCATATTACCAAAAGTAATCTACAGTTCAGTGCAATCTTTATTAAAATACCAATGACATTCTTCCCCAAAGTAGCAAAAACAATGCTAAAATTCATTTAAAAAACTACAAATAGTTAAAGTAATCCTGAGCAAAAAAACAAACAAGCAAAAACAAAAACAAAGCTGGAGGCATCACACTAACAGGCTTCCAAATATTCTATATAGAGCTGTAGTAACCAAAACAGCATGGCACTGGGACAGAATACAGAACACAGAAATAAATACACGCATTTACAGCCTTTC